GGGATACACGCCCAGGATACATCTCAGGGGGAGGGATGGGGGCAAAAAGCAAAAACCAAGAATCTTCCTGCGCGATTTGTTGAAGCTTTGTTTGCCCCCCCCCTCCCCTCTCTCCTCTGCTCAGGTACGGGTCTCGTATGTAGGCACTCGACTCCAGAGAAATCGAAATTAACAGTCTTTAACCTGATACAATCGTTAGCCTGAATTGAAACAAATCTGAAGCTACTGAAACTTTTTTTGGCTCCCACATGGCAACGCCAGCGCACTGACCCTGCATCGCAGGCATCTTGTGAAATCTCTTAATGTAGCATATAAGACAGAAGCAACAGTTGGAAGCAGCCAAACCACGAAAAACCATCAAAAGTACAGTACGACTCTCGCAAACGCACACCGCAACGGCGTACTTACTATTCTGCAGTTTACGGAGAAGGGTAACACTCCTGACCCAGAGAGCAAGAGTAGATTTTTCCATCCCGCAGGACTGCCCGGCCGCTCCTGTGGCCAAGTATCGCGGAGACTGTGTACAGCTCCGAAAGCCCCGAAACTTCCTGACCACACCGGGCGCGAAGCAGTATTGATGCATCAAGGCTACGTTATGAGATGCTCCTGAGGATGAATATGATTTGTCACCCAAGGGGTGTCTCCATGCCCTCGATGTAGAAACAAGCCTGCAGCCATCGAGACAGAGCAGACTTTGTGGGGTTCAGTTCTTCGACCATGGGGTTGATGCTGCCTGTCGGCCATATTTCGCAGTGCGACATGGCAGCGGCTGGAACTACTTACTTACCCAAACCGGAACATGCAAGTGCGTGCTTCAGTAAACTCAGCAAACCATGACCGACAGCATCTCACAAGTGGTCTCACTCCTGAGCGGGACGGCAGCGCATGTCGAAGTGCCGCTAGCCGCCAGACTGTAACGGCCACAAGGTTGCACATCAATTTGGCCAAGAATCCATGCTACCCAGATCAGCATATTAAGTATTCAAGGAGACGGCTGCCGCGATCATGACTCCCCGCCACTGTTTCTGCTCTACGGGTCTGTCTTGTGAGACATCTTGTGGTGGGGTGGTGGTGGTGGTGGTGGTAGTGGTGGTGGTGGTGGTGGTGGTGGTGGTGGTCGAGAGTCCTGTGCCCCCTCACTGCCAAGCCGAGGTCTCCTGTTTCTCAAACACGGGCCTCATGTGCCGAAAGAGGACACGCCTGGAAATTTTCTAGTGATTGGGAATCGCATTCTCAGTTCTCGGCAACTGCAAAGGTGGGCATTGCTGCTTCACCTCCCAATACTGCCTCTCCTGCACAAGAGAGGAGCTTTTGCGGTTGGGGGTTACGACTTTGCTGCGCCTCGGATGTGGAAGGGAATCTGTTGTCAAAGGCTTCTTTCACAAGCTGCGTAACTTGCATCGGGCGCTCGATCATGTTGCCAGCCTGTGCCGCAAAGGCAAAACTGTTCAGTCTTGCGGCCCGTGGGCCCCCGTGGGGCCGATGCTAAATGAAGCATCAGCGGCGTGTAGCGCCCGGTGTCCTCCCTGAAGAGAGGGTACTGGGCCTCGGAAACAGACTGAGCTCTCGCTGCGCGGAGGGAGCAGGCTTTAAACCGCTGGGCTCTGGGCATTGCTCTTCAGGGCGCGCACCAAGTGCATCAAGCCGTAGGAGCCCTCGGAGAGGAGAGGAGAGGAGAGGAGGAGACAAAAGCGCTTGCTCCGGCCTGGCCTGGACCCTATTCTGCTCCATGCACACCTCGAACACGTCAAATGCCCTTTCTTGTAGACGGCCTTTTTTTTGAGGAGTACGCCTTTGGGCTCAGAGGGCCCAGCAGCCGAGATCGGCAAGCGCGATTTCGAGATAAGATCAGAGATGGCGACCAGGGACCTCAGTAAACTGGCACGCGGAAACCCTGAGAAGAACCGCAGTGTTGGTTGCACAGGTGCACTTTCTCTGGGTGTCCGGCGCCTCGGTGAGGCGATTCGCGTTGAGGTTCAGGGTGCGCACATGGACATCACAGTTCTGGAGCAGGGCCAGAAGCTCCCTCAAACCTGCATCCTGCACACACAAGCAGGGAAGCGTCAGCTAGGCGGCTTGAGGCTGGGTATGTCTCAAGAGCACGCTCATCGCGACTGCACTTTTCGCTCCGAGATCAGATCAGAGGGCAGTGAAGTTTGGATTTGGAGCTCGCAGACAATCGCAGACAGAGGAGAAGAGCCTGGAGTTGTTGAGGACTATCAAATGTCGTCGAAGACGGTCTTAGGAACCTCACCGTCTGCTTCTGTCACATCTGACATGCAATCAGACGCTTCAGTTCTTGCATCTTCGTCTTCTGTGTCGGCATCGTCGTCGTCATCTTGATCCTCGAGTTCCTGAGAGATTCAAAATTGAGGCACATATGCAGGCAGTGCTGCGCCTAGCTACCTGCGAGAGAGAGAGAGAGAGCGGGGAAAGGAGGCAAGGAGGGCTCGAGGCACAGAGAAGGACAGAGACAGAGTGGATACCAGCGGGAATCCCACCAACAAAGAGAGAAGTCGGGTATGCACAAATTCCCTCGTGAAAGAAGCGAACTATAAACAGGTTGACGCAAGGCAGGTATGCACATGGGCACAAGCAGGCTCAGCGCCACATCGTCATACGAGAGGAACGAGGCACCACAGTTGGGGCGGAGAGTTAGCGTCAAGAGATGGCTGGCATCGCAAAATGACGACCGTGCAGGACAAGATGCCATCTCATCATCCACGAATTCGAACTCTGCTTCTGCGTTGGCCGCGGCCGCAGTGGGGCGTGCTGTCGGAAGTGGGGTGCGAATGCCATGAGCCTCGAAGTACTTCTCTGCACGGACCTGAGAGATCAACTTGTCCACCTCTTCCTGCGCAAACACATGGTCCAGAGAACGGAGAGAACCCCTTTCGTTTAGAAGGATTGAAGCTTTAAAACGTGGCTGTTGTCGCTCCTCGCCCATCTGCAGCTCCTCGCCGACCATGTCGCAGACAGTCTCCACCAAATCCAAGACATCGGCCGAAGCGCTCTCGAAGACCTCTGAATCCTCGCTGCTCATGGACACATGTAGCCGGTGAGCAGGCGGTACACTGAGCGAGTTTTGACCTTCAACTCGCAGGTCCACATTTGGATACTTTCTGAGAATATGCGCGAAATGAGAACCACCAGGTCCGGTAATAAGCTCTCGCAAGTCCTGTCTTGACTTGAAAACCGGTTCCGGGAGCCAATACTTGCAAAAACCTCTGGGAGCGCTGGCCGCGGGCACTGTTGCACGGGCCACTGGTGGTTCGGGAGTAATTGGTGTCTGGGCAGGTAGAGCAGCCGGCGTCGACACCAAGGGAATGTACGGCCCTTCCGGCCGTTGCGTTCCCGCCTTGAGAGGCATCCACTCAACGAAGAAGCCTCTGAAGGGTGGCGACACCTGAGACTCAGTGGGCTTGCCTCCCATGCGTCCCATCTCTGCCAGCATCGCGTGTACCTTGTCTCTGCCGTAAGGCAGCTTCAGGCCGCGGCCCATGGACTCAGAAAACCAAGCCCACGGATAAAGCAAGTAGAATAGCAACTGCTCATCCTCGACCTGCCTCCTCACGACACCTCGAAGTCTTGAGAGCACCTCAAGAATGATGATCTTCGGCATGGACGACAGCTGCGTCTTCTCCAAGAGTGTCGAGAAATGCTCAACAGCTGCGGCACTCAATCGAACACCTTGGCCTTGTTGAAGGGCTATTGCTCCGTCAGCCTCGCCCGCCGTAAGGGACGACCACAAACCCGTGGGTCGGAGATCGTGTTCCTCGAACCAGTAGGGACTCGGATGGCTCCAGTCCTGCATCATCTTGCGGAACTCCGCGGCCTTAGTTCCAAGCGCTTTCTCGGTTCATGTAAGCTCAATGAGCTCGTCAGTGCACGCTGAGTTTAGGGCCACAAGCTCGGCCTGCTCGGGAGCATCGTCTGGCGCCGGTGGCTCTGCAGGCGTCACCTGGCAGCTTCCGTCGTTGGGGGCCCGCCCCTGTCAAAAAACGCAACCCCTACAAACCTGACAACCATGCTTTTACTTCTGCGACACGCCATCAACCCGCGATTCTATACGTGCCCCTGTTTCTCATCTGCACATTCTACAAAGAAGGTCTCGACGATCACTGAAATTGCATGTGTGTCTCCAAGCACCTACATGTGAGTTGCTTGCACACTGAGATTGAGACCTGCACTCTGTCAACTTTTCTTATTTAACTTGGGCTCCTTCATTATTCTGGACCGGTCCATGTCGAGACCGGACTGTCCCGTGCTTTGCGGCTTCATGACACTGCCCTGATGAAGCAACTACTCGACGATCGCGAGACGCTTCTCCAACATCATAAGAAGGAGCAGTCGGCACATGACACATAAAACACGGTAGGCTGCCGCCCTGCGTTTTGGCACATTCCCAAAACCCGACAGTATTGTAATTTACGCATTCTGGCTCCTCAGGGTTGTTTTGGGAGGTTCGCGAAGTTTTCAAAAAAAAAAAACATCACCATATGTCAAACATGTACGGAGGAGTCTTTTCAGACTCCGCACGAGCCCCAGTTCGGCTGCACGAGGCAACGCCTCTTCAACGGAACTCTTAAGACACACGTTGTGGCGCCACTGAAAAGCATACGCCCAGCTCCACGTCAGGGGATTGGCGAAGCTTTGGACGTTATCATGGTTGCCACATGGATGCTCTGTGGGATGTAACGGTGTCTTTGTGGACGCGATCATGGTTGCCACATGGATGCTTTGTGGGAAATGCCACATGGATGTGTTGTGGGAAATAACAAAGTATTTCTGGACGTTAACATGGCTGCCACAAGGATGCTTTGCGGGAAATAACGGAGTCTTTGTGGACGTTATGATGGTTGCCACATGGATGCTTTGTGGGAAATAACGGAGTCTTTCTGGACGTTAACATGGTTGCAACATGGATGCTCTGTGGGAAAAAGCGGGGTGTTTGTGGACGTTGTCATGGTTGCCACATGGATGCTTTGCGGGAAATAACGGAGTCTTTCTGGACGTTATCATGGTTGTCACATGGATGCTCTGTGGGAATAGCGGAGTCCTTCTGGGCGTTGCCATGGTTGCCACATGGGTGCTCTGCGGGAACGGAGGAGTCTTATGCACAAGCGCACCTGCCCCGCACTCGCCCGCCCATCTACGCACCCACTTACACAAGCACCCACGCGCGCACACGCACACACACGTGCAATTAACCACGTGACTCTGCGACGGTCACGTGCAGAACACTGCTCCGTGTATGAGCCCGGCCTGCAATGTAGTGCGCCACTGTGTATCAGAGTCGAGCTCCAGTGGCAGCTTGGCCTGTTTCAACCAGAGCAACATGTCATTCAAGGTCTGGCCATCCTCCTCCGGGAAGCGAAACTTCAAGGGCTCTCCATTCTCAGGTCCTGTGCCTCGGCCCAGCATGAAACCGAAAGGATGTGCATCTGGGATGCGAGGATTGTCCAGAGCAGGACCGATCTCCCCTCTCTCCGAGAGCTCTGCATCTAGCTCAGCTACGATCTCCTTGATGATCCGTCTCACAGACTTGCCTTGCTGCGGCACCTCGCCTTTGACTGAGATGTGAAGCCGACAGTCGGTAGGATCTGTGAGATCCATATCCCGACCACTGACACCAAGGCCGCGGAAGAAGACGCGGGCCCCGCTTTCACTCTCCATGCGGCGGTGGTGCATACCACCTCGCCCGATGACACGGCTGAGCACATTGGAGCCGTAGAGGCCCTTGGAGAGGAGCGTGTCCAAGAAAATCTTCTCCTGCCACGGATACTTGTTTTCAGGAAGCGGGGGCGGTGCATCCTTTGGAAGCTTCGGAGCCACATAGGGCTTTGGCGCTGGCGTCGAGGGCGGAGGAGGGATGGGCAGCTCAACAGGCTGTTTCGAGGGTGGCTTCATGTCGAGGATGGAGAGCGCCACGTCCTGAATCTCTACCGGGAAGAGGGTGTTGTGCTCATTGAGCTGCTTCACTAAGTCTTGTACCTCCTTGTTGTGCTTTGCTAGATCGATATCCGCGAAGCCTTCGAGCTTGATCATGAGTTGCTCCAGCAAAGCCAGCACAGTTCGCTGCTCCTGGAACGGCTTAGATTTCCTCCAATCGCTGAACCTGCGGCAGACCTTCTTCACCCCCTGATCTGCAGCATTGAGGTTCAGCAGGCCCTGCAAGTACGCCTCTCTGAGCTTCCTTCGAGACAGGCGATGCGGTTTGGAGTAGTCGGCTGGCTCAGCATCTGACACATCCGCATCAAGGTCCAAGTCCTCTTCAGGAACATCGCCCTCAGAATCTGACGACGCAGGCTCTCTGTTCTCAAAGCCTTGGCGAGCAGCTAGAACCATGCCAGGATACCAGGTTGCTCGACCCATCGCACGAAACTGCGGCATTGACAGGACATGCATGGCGAATGCAGCGTTGGCACGAAGACCTGCGAGAACCTTCGACAGGAGGGGGCCCAATTTCCTGTTGGCAGCCTCGAGTTCCCCATGAGTTGGCGCGGTGACAATCAACGACGCGTTGGGTGAGGCGGCACCGCCACCGGCGCCACCGGTGGTCTGAATGATGACCACGGTATCCAAAGGCACATCGCTGCCCCAATTCAGAGTCAGGATGGAGAGCCAAAGCTTGTCTGCGAGCTCGCGCCAAAAGTCCGGCAGCCGTCCTTGAACATCTGGGCCACACAAGTTGTGGTGTGCAGAATGGGAATGCATCGCTACATATCGCCGTGGCGTCCAACAGCCTCTCCTGTACTCCACGCCCACTTCCTTCTTGAGATTCTCATCAAGGATGTAAGCGTTTTCCTCGGAACTCCATGGAAGATACCAGCGATCCCTGGCACCTTCATCATCTGAGTCCAAGGCGTCCATGCATTCTCGCACAGCTCGCCCCAAGGAGTCAGCTATGTGAACTACTGCGTTGTCAAAAGGCTTTCTTCCCTCAGCTCCTCCACCATCTCCAGTCACCACCAAGGCGTCCGAAGAATCCTTCGGTCCTCGGATCTCGGTTCCGGGGCACATGCGGAGGAGTCGGTCCCAGCGCTTCTGATCAGAACCGTAAAGCTTCTCTGTGAATTTCTCGGTTTGTGTCGAAGTCAGGCCTTGCAGCTCGAAGCGATAACTCAGCGTACAAGGCAATTGCCGAGGCTGAGCTTCCTGCCAGCAGCAAAGCCTAGAGGCTTCTTTCTCATCAAAACCGGCACCATGAAGCACAGCAATCTCCAAGAGCTGCCTGAACATGCCAGCAAGCTCGGCTTCAGCTCCTGGCGCCAAGTTGAAGTCATCCAGCTTCGCCAACTCTGTGTTTGTGCTGGGGTCGTTCTCCTTCGGCTTCACGTCGTTCTCGGCGTCACCATCTTGAGCCTTCCGGCCGTCCTCTGCATCGTTCTTTTTCTCCTTCTTCTTGCTTGTCGGAAGCTTTGGCTCAATGTTGTACTTATGACACACTGCCAGGTACAGAGTCTTCTCCTTGCCTTTGTACTTCCCGAGAAGGTCATCCAGCTCGCCCAGCTTCTCTTTGTTGTGCTCGGCATAGATCTCCGCAATCAGCTGCTTGTACTTCTCGAAGGTCGTTTTGGCTTCCTCCTTTTTGGATGTCTTCGGCTCCACGTGGTACTTTTCACAAATGCCCTTGTAGACCAACTCTTCCCTGCCCTTGTACTTTTGAAGCAAACTATCTAAGTCTGCGAGCTTGGACGGGTTGTGCTCCTTGTAAATGTCGGTGATAAGCTCACGGTACTTCTTCACCTTCTTGTCGTCACCGGCCGGCACTTTCTCGGAAGCACCGGCCTTGGACTCCAGGTTTGGGGATACACGATACTTCTCACAGATACACAGATACAAGGTCCTCTCTCGGCCCTTGTACTTGCCCATGAGCGCCTCAATGTCCCCTAACTTCGAGGGGTTGTGGTCCTTGTAGAGCTGCACGATCAGGTTCCGCCAGTGCTCTGGGCGAGCGTCTGCAGGCAGTCCTGGGAGAGCCAAAGGCGCCGCTCCGGCTCCGGCTCCGGCCCGGACGGAGCCGCTCACACCCAAGCCCAAACTTGCGAAGAGCCTCGAGGCCGAAGCCTCCGTGGAGGACTCCGACTTCCGCACCTTTCCTTGGCCTGGCCAAGCTCCTTTCAAAACTCGGACAAAAAGCTGTCGAGCCTGCTGGCCCCTGTGATGTGCGAGACTGGCAACTTGCTGGAGCAGGTCGTACTGCTCATCACGGGCCGAGCTGTCCAGCAGCCAAACCAGGCACAGCGCATGCGTCAGCAACATCTCGATGGGCAGGAACAACGGCAGCTGGCTCCCCTGTAGCTTCAGACCGAGCGCCTGACCACATCAAACTTAACATCTCTAGATTGGCAGGTGGATCCGGGCCCTTGTGAGGCTCTGCAGGCCCTACGTAGGCTAGGCCTTGCAAGTCGAGGCCGCAAACGAAATGCCTGGTATCGTGCTCATGCTGGTACTCTGCTCGAATACCACTACTCATAATTGTTGTAGGGCTGGAAATGTTTCATAGACATCGTCCATGCTTGAACTGCTCCTACCAGTGTAAGTAGTGCTAGGACCTGCGTGGCCGTCATCGTCCTCGTAGCTTCAACTCTAGACCTTGCAGTTTTCAGCATGGCCTCGACAAGCGGCCTGCACCTGGCCCCCAAGCATCCCCATCCCCATGCAGAGCCCTGTGCCTACGGCTAGGGCACGTTCAGGGTGTGGTGCAACGCCTATGACGTCCCTACACGTGTCGCCTCCGACATGACCCGTAAAGCTCTGGTAGACTCGGGGCCTCGTCCAGACTCTTCGCTCTTGCCAGTTTCTCTTCGGAAACCTGATCAGGGTGCTTCGTGAAGTGCTCGCGGACAGACTGAGCAAAGTCCCTGAGCCGGTACTTCTTCTCGGAGGCAAAGCGCTGCATGTCAGATGCTTCTCTGGCACCAGGAGGCATTGGCCTTTGGAAAGGTATAGGCCCCTTGCCAGGGAATCCCTTCATTGGCGCCATGCCCTTCCCGAAACCCTTTGGGTCGAACCACGGCCCCGGTGGTGGTGGGCATGGCCCAGGACCAAAAGGCGGATGCGGATGCATGCCGGGTGGAGGCATGCCTTTGCCAAATGGGGGCATGGCGGGCATCCCCTTGCCAGCCATGGGCGGCATACCTTTCCCCTTGCCATCAGGTGCAAGGTGCGGGGGAAATGGCATTCCGGGGGGCATCATGCCAGGTGGTGGCATCATTCCAGGTGGCAACATGCCAGGCGGCATCATCCCAGGAGGTGGCATGGGCATCCCCTTCTCATTCCTTTCTGAATCAGAGCTTCGCTTCCTGTCATCACTGGACCCTCTCTTCCGCTTTTTCTTCTCCTTCTTCTTCTCCTTCTTTGCCTTTTCCTCCCCGTCACCTTTCTTTTTCCTCTTCTTGCCATCTTCTGGCCCTTCTTTTCCCGCCTTCGTCCTGGCACTCCGTTTCAAGTCAGCGAGCTCGGAGCCGATGTTCTCATCCGGTTCCCAAGACGTCTCGCTGTAACCCTTCCATTTCACCAAGTACAAATCCTTGCCGTCGGCATGCCTGCGGAAGAAAAGAAGTCTTATTTGCGCAGTCTAGAAAACGAGCCATGTCATGCCATCGACTAGGCTAGACATGACTCTATTCGGCGCCTGAAGTCTAGGAGGTCCTCAACCTCGAAGACCCCCTCGTCCCCGCCATCCATGGGGGATGCAAGGAGGCAGGGGGGTGTCCGCCCGCCCCTGCGACTGAGCCAAGCTGCGATTCGCAACAAGCCCATGCTGTGCGGATGCAGACCGCGTCTGCGAAGCTGCGATGCATTGCAAGGTACGGGTACACGCCTCGAGAGCATTGCCTGAAAAGTCTAACTCCGCCTCTGAAAGTGCACCGCCCGCACCTGCAGCTCTGACAACGCAGACAGCGATTTTCGGGGTCATTCGGGCCATTTCGAATTCGGGCTCCCGGGCGGCCGAGGGTCTGCAGCAAGGCAGGGGCCCAGCGGCACCAGCGAGCCTTTGAAAACCACCGTGCACCATGACGTTCCCAGTGCACACCCCGATTAGGCGTCCGGGCCATGCCCGCATCCATCAGCTGCAAGGACCCTCGTAGCACTTGTAATGAAGGTTCAAAGCGCTAACTTGCGAGCTTGCGAGCCCCGAACTCATGTCCACGCGCAGGACGCCATCATGGAAGGTGAGGCGGTCTGCCCACGCAGCCTTGGCGGAAGTGTCGCAGAACGGTGAAGCTCTGATGCTCGACTGGCATTGCGAAGCACTGCGTTCATGGCTCTCAGACGACGTCGACCCACGCCCTCTTCAAGAGAGGAGGCCCATTTCTTCTTTTGGGGAGGCTGCAGCGAAATTGAAAACCAACCTGATGATTTGGGCGAATTTATGGGCGTCTCGCAAGCCCGGCTGCATGCCTCGCACACCGCAACATACCGCAACTTGTTTCGTTCAGTGTATAGTAACTGTGCTCTCTTGGGCTAACCGAAGCCGCACGGTATTTCGCGAGCACATGCCTTGTCGGCTCGACGCGGCATTAGCCATGTGGCACTTTCGGGGGCGTGTACAGAGTGACACACAGTGTACAGTTGAGGTTAATGTTGTGATGCCTTGACGCTTATCTTGCCAATTATGTCTCCCACCGGAATGCCCAACTGCTAACTCCAGTTGTACGCCAAGCGGCGAATCCTCCAATTGTCAGTTCTGACGTGCACCGAATATTTGCAGTGCATGTGCGCTCTGAACGGTCTGCACACATCACAGTTGGAATCCTAGCGGTCCTAGCTCATGTAGGCTTGAAGGTCATGTAGCTAGTGTTTGCCTGTTGGTGTGAACGTGCCCAGCCCAGCACTATTCGGTGCTGTGTGGTGAACGCCATGCCATTGCCTGGGATCGAAAATGGCTGCCGCTGATCACCGCCGAAGGTGAAGAAGCCCCCCCCGCGCTAGCCAGCTACCCCCTTCCCACCCAGGCAATGGATCTCTGGACTTGGTCATCTTGCCTCTCACTGACACAACCACTGAAAGGGACGGACCTCCTGTTTCTTGAAGACTTCTGCGGAGAGGCTTGGCCCCTCAGCGATGGCGAGCCGGGAGCCTGCTGAACGGAAAGCCGGTGACCTGCCTTGCCCTTCGGCCAAGTCGGCACAGCCTCAGCAACTGGAAGTCACCCTGGCAGAAAGCACAGGAAGCTGTGGCACAAGTTGCTTCCAAGCTGCCAGAAAGGCAGGGCCAGGCCTCTCTGCCGAGAATTCGTCGCAACGCGAGCTCGGACGACTTCTCTCAGGCTCTAGCACAGGCCCGGTCGTGCTGGCCAAGGGAACTGGCAGCGAGAGCATCGGCAGACAAAGAGAGAGAGAGAGAGAGAGAAGTTTCCCACTTTTTCCCACGACACTCTCCAAAGAAGGTTGTGCAATGATCTGTCCGCACCTAAGCTTTTTGGCATGAACTTCCATGCGCAGATTGATTGCCGTGCCAATTCGTTCTCTGGGCTCAAGAACAAGTCCGGTACCTTGATTAAATTACTGCCCTCTATGGGCAGTAGCTGTCTTTTCCGGTCTCGCGAGTCCTGTATATTGCGCAGCGGGACTTGATGTGTAGTGGCATGTCTTTCGGGGCCACACTCACGTGTCGCGCACATGCGGGTGTGCTTGCTCTTCCTTCAGCAGATAAGCGCTAACGGGTCTCTCCTCGTCTGTGTCTCGGGCCCGTCAACATAAACACATAATATCAACAACATAGAAGCATTTTTTCCAGATCCTTCGCTTGTTCTCACAGTTTGACTTGACAGCATTCACCAATGTGTTCAATTTGATGCTGCCATCTCAAGCACAGTGAGCGGAATCGAACGACACTTGCCTGGAAGGCTCTTGGATGTGGCCGCGGTGGCCATCCCGGCAAGCTCAGCTGACCTCCAACAAAAATTGACAGGAACGCATCGAAAGCCGCGCATGGCCGATAAAAACTTGGGAGATGGCGTCTTCGGCGGAGGCGGCGCCGGGCCAGGGAGGCCAGCCATGCCCGATTTAGCTTTGGGCACATCGGCGTCGACCGCGCTTGGAAGCCCAACTACCAGATGCCTTGCGAAACGCAAAGGCAGCTTGTAATGTAACAACTCCAGACACATGCTGCGTGCATGTGCGCGTGATCGCGTGCACACATGTGGGCCTGCGGCCAACTTTAACTTTTGCGGACCACCGGTGGAGTCGGAGCCAGTGGGTTACTTGCATTTTCTCGGATTCCATGTGTCGGTGCAGGACGGCTCCATCACATGCATTGTACATTCAACCGTCACATCAATGGCAAGTTCGTGATCCCCTTGAACGCTATAAGGATTTGATGGGGAAGGGGTAGCGGTCACGATACTGTTGGAATTTGACTCACAGGATTATCTTGAAGATGCATTCGTACACTATGAGGGAGATCGTCAAGGTGACCGTACTCCATCTAGAGGATGTTACAGGCCTGGGCCCAACCTCAAGGCTCATCCCCAAGCCAAATCATCCCTCGCCACCATTCTTTCACACGTGACTTGAGCCATCCGATGGCGTGTGGTCCTTGCGAGGGGCCATGCTAATCTTCTCAGATCTTCTCAGCACATCAACAGATCCAAAGGGTGCTCGTACCTGTGCGACTTAGACTTCTGTCCCGACTCATGCTCATACTCTTGGAGTCCTCCCGAATTTGCTTTCACGTGAAGTAGACAAGACACAAATAAAGATGTCGATGCGTTGGGACAGAGAGTGCTGCAGTTTCATAGGCTCAAAATGGATGAAAGATTGAACTCGTTGCAGACACCACAATCCATATGTCTTCATGTGTGCGTGTTTGCTTGTCGAGAAGGCGAAGACCCTAGACCCTTTTGCTGCAGGCTTGCAAGCAAGAACGCCTGGTAGTTAGCCACTCGTCCGCCGACAAACACTGTACTCGTGACAGTGCTTCCCTAGACCCCTTTTTGCAACTGGCTGGCAACGTCACGCCAGGACAGCTGACTCGTCCCTAGACCCCTAAACCCTAAACCTTCTTCCGGATAAACCCTGACATAGCGTAGTTGGTGGCCCATTTCACTCAGGATATGTTCCTTCTGTCCACAAAGCAACTCAAAACACCAACTGGACAGTTCGTGGCTAGCCGAACAATTGTTGGAATGTCCCGCTTTCGACAAGATTGAAGGGTAGACATGCTGGGTTGGGAGGTCTGAATCGTCCGCGGGACGTGGTTCCTCTTACCAGCTGCGGCTCTCAACATGTTACGGTAACCAGGTGCTTCAGCTCAAGATTAGGACAGTACTCGGACCGACGACCTTGCTGTACGCAAGAGACTGCAAGGCCAACTTGAACCCCCAACTTCAGAGCGACCCAACTGCATGATGCATCATGTTAAGAATGATTCCAACTGCATGGGTAAAGATTGCCGGCCAAAAGCCGTTCGAGTCAAGTGCGCCTTCTTGCTGAAACCGAACCTGATTGAGATCACGTCGTGGCTTCTGGAGCGTAGACTTCAGCCGCCAAAGGCCAGTTCACGTGTTCACTTTGACGGACACACAGCGAGAGTTTTGAAGCCGAGATTGTGCAGACATTATCCGCTTGGCTTCCATGGTGCGAGGAGATTCGGCTAGTTCTGAATGAAGCAGTTTTCCGGGCAGGGCGTTGCAGCACAGCTGGTTGCCGAGCTACAAGGTCTATGCCACGGTTGATGCTGGGTCTGGTCAACCCAGTGCACCCGCCGTTCAAAGGTCTGCGCGGGTCGGGAAAACCGATGGCCTGGCTACAGTGGTTCCAAGATGTTGAAAGAGCTGTGGCACAACTGGATGCCAGCACATGGACAGACATCCGAATCGATGACATTCGGCGACCGTGCTGCGGCTTCCTCACCTCGGTCGAGTTGAGCCGTAGTGGAGAAGTACGTAGGCTCAACTCCATTGACGGATTCGGCACGACATCTCGACGTCCGGCCCCATGGCAGTGACCAGCGGTGACAAGAAAGGCTTTTGTCAAGCGAGTTTCCTCGCCAAGTCCTTTTCGCTGGGCTGCAGTGGGGCAACTCGGTTGCAAAGGGCGCTGGGTGGGAACTAACTGAGCCTGATGACAGGGGGGGCTCTTGTGGTTTAGCGCTTTAGCTGCTTAGCTATTTTCGCGCCTTTCGAGCTGTGGAACTCCTGTCACCTGTGAGTCCCCGACACTGCCCCAACGATAGGGCCTAAACCTATGCAGCCTAAAAGCCTGAGCTAGAAAGCCTTTAAACTCGCACTCAACTTATCAGACCAAGCTGCATGAATTGGGGAAACTCCGTGCTGAACTGTACCTGTCGTTTCAACAAGCCGGCTCACTCCAGCTGCATAGTATCGACATGAGGACATGTGCAGAGCACACCCGGTCTGCTGGAGATAGGTCCGACCAAAAATCTCGCACGGCATCCCGCTCTGAAGAGCCTCCCTGCGGAAAGCCGGCACGTGCAGAAGGCAAGATAGGTATCCTAGCCCCGGTCCTGCACTTTTTGCATCAAGCTTCTCAGCTTTGATTTGTACTCCTCAGACGGTGCCTGGCACGGACTCAAGAGAGGCCCCCGGACTCCCGGACCGGAGACGTTCTGCCGGCACCTTCGCAGGTGGTCCTGGAGTAGTTGCACAAAGGCACAAGGAGAGACAGCGACGTCACCGTCCTTGTGGGGTGCTCTTGTAGGCAGCTGCTTTCTTCGCTTTGGCGGCCGGGCGTTTCCGCATGCGAAGGCTTCGTTCGTTCCCCCGGTACCTTGCATGCCGCGGCAACAACAACAGGGCCGGCACAGGATTGCCAGAAGTGCGCACTTGCTGGGGTCCACCTTCAAAGCCTCCGGTACGTCCAGCAAGGGCGGGCTTCGCCACTGCATGAGCCGCACGGCTCTCGCTGCCCCGATGGTGAGAAGCAGAGTGCTGGCGGCGCAAACGGCAATGCAAATGCAAAGTAAAGGCAATTCACATCAATTCACATGGAGCAGCGCTCTCCGGCCCGGACCTTCCGCCGGCGTCTGGGAGGTTCTCCGGCTCTTGCGGATTCGCCACGCCGATGGCCGGGCCTAGAGGGATCGGGGGCTCCGAGATGGCTTAATCATGCTTAATCCGAGAGGCTTCCGCCAGAGCTGCGGCCCTTCCGCCTCCCACTCTGACCCGCTGATCACCCCACAATGTACAGACTTTCTTTGTGGCGGCACCTGCTTCGAAGCACCACGCTGCAAAGCCGACGCTGTTGCCAAGCGCCATCTGCTTCCTCGAGGAGCACCTCTGCACAGTGAAATGAGAAGCCGGTGCAGCGCGGGTGCAGGCGCGGGAATCCTCCTGGATGCTGGTCCAGGACCGCGTTTTGCTCCAGTGAGGGATCAGAGGAACCTCAGCCGCTCGGCCACAGGCACTAAAGAGGCACCAGCTGTTTGAAGCCGAGGTCCTGGCAGTCCTGGCCTCTATAGCCGCTGTGGCTTCCGCCTCTGAAGGATTAGCCTCGACAAACTCCTGCAGGGCACGAGTACGAAAGGCGAGAAAGCTTTCAGCGCTACATGTAGGAACCCGCTACAGTACTTTCTGATGCTCTAAAACTCTCCAAAGGGATGCTCCGGCGGCTTCCTCGATGTCGCTGGCATCCATGTCGGTGAGCCCTTTGCCCGGTCCCTCGAAAACGACATAAATCTCATTTAACACTGGACGCTTGGCGAACATGCTCGAGGTCCTCTGCGCGGCTGATAAGCCGCTTCGAGGACAATTCGATGTTGCCTTTCACCTGCACAAAGATGCTCAGGTCTGCTCTGCGAGAGAGACAGGAGTGTCTGCGTCTGCAACAAAGCGGCCAGATTCAAGTCGATCTCCAGCTCGTAAAGCTCAGACCAACCCACTCTCGGTCCTGGCCACCTGCGACTCGCACATGTAAAGTTGTATAAAGGGAAGCTCCGACACTGCCGGCTGGGACTGTGCCTCTCGGCGGAGCGGTGCAAGGGCTGCCGAACTGTGTGAAATGGCGGCGCCCACTTTAGCACCTCTGCGAAAGATTCCACGAAGCGCAGACGCGAGGAGACGGTGCCGTGTGCCCTGCACCTTGGGCTGAGCGGAGCTCTCCCCTGCGGCCTCTGCGGCCTCAGCCACGAAGCCCTCTGGAGCTTTCGGAGTGGGCGCCTGAACACGACAAGCACATCCAGCGCACAGGAGAGGCATGCTGTGGCCTCTCCGATTTCTGCATCTTCGTCTTGACTTTCTGTCTCACTCTCCTGTGTGCGGGGCATGCGCTGTTGCCTCGGTTCATTGTCCCAAGCGGCAGCGCACCTCGTTCTCCGATTCTGAAGACTCCGAACCTGAAGGCGCTCACGAAGTCACGAAACAGGCTGTTGCGATTGCAGTCGAATCCAGGCCCGGACCTTCCTGAGCAGAGGCAGCTGCGGGAGCTCCCGCTGCAGCTCTCGCTGCAGTGCCGGACGCATCCGAAATCTGCACAGCGAGAGGTGCAGAAGCAGGCGCAGCTCCTGGGACGGCTCCCGTCAGCACCTGTCACCACCCCACCACCCCACTGCCATTGTGCTGCCATCGTGCTGCCATCCTTTGCCTAGCTAGCCCTGCCCTGCCGAAACTCCCTGAGCCGGGGCCATGACTGCAGGCTGCTCAGCATCTTCCTCGCTCTCTTCTCCCTCCTCCTCTTCCTCTTCTTCCTCTTCCTCCTCCTCGTCTTCCTGTGAGAAGCTCTTGCGGTCTCAGATGTCAGGCACAAGCTGCTTGCTGTTGACGTTGTTTTCCTGCACCTGCAGCTGCTACAGCGTGGCATGCCTGGCCTCAGAGGAATCGGAGATGGGCAAAGCTCCTGGAAAGACCGCGAACCATGCTCTCGAAGCTCTTCACGTGTTGGATGTCCTGCTTCCGATGCCTGCACCTGCCCGACATGCCTGGCACGGACCGCGTCACTGCGACGATCAGTGTCAGAGAGGTCGGGTCGAATCTGAGCGGCTCGGCGGGATTCCGCTTGCAACGGCCCATGCCTCAGAGGACTCTTTTTGCTGAATACGGCATGTCAACAACAAATCTGACAAACAGGAAATTGTCACTGACCGCCTAGCCTGGCCTGGCCTGGGGGGCCATCATGCTTGGAACAGACCAAACGGCACCCAACGGGGCACCGGCCTGAGCATAACCAAAGCGCCAAGTGCTCACTGTCGACCGACTCAAGTCCAGCTCACTCCTCCCTCCAATCTCTCGTTCCCTCGCCCTCGCGAGCTAATGGCCAGTTGGGCACTCCATGGATGGTAGGACCCTGCTCGCCACACCTGCCATGCCTCAGGCGCAAATGCATTTGAGCCGGAGAAAGTTTTAACCCCCTAAGGTTTCGCATAGGGAGACGGCTTCGGGCATGGCCACATCACGCCTGACTTGCGAGACTCTGACGGATCGGGAACTTCGAGTACTCCTACCTTCGTTTTCGAGACCGCGAGCGGGCTGGGTGTTCTCGCCTGACAGAGATGCCAGGTTCCCAAAAGGAACGAAATGGACCGCTGGATCGCCTGCGGCCATGCGTTCTGACATCCTGGCGCTTCGTTGGTGCACACAAGCGCCAAAATCGGCAGGGCGAACTCACGCTGCGACAGCCTCTGCGGTCGCCTGCACCCCCAAGCATCGAGCACTCTTTCTCACAGCGGCACACAGCGGCACGGTAGTTTACAGCAATCTGCAACATGCCTGCTTCGGCCGCCTGCGCCAGAGCGAGAGCTACAGGCGCAACAACCGATAAATGCAACCAGCCACGGACAGGTTTGAACTTGTGTGAAGCGTTCCGAAGACAAGATTGGCAGCGCCCGGTGTGTGCCTGTGGCTTGAACCTGCGGCGTCCGTGCAATTGCAGATCTTGCGCATGGACGTTCGGCATTAAAACTATTCGAACTCTCTCCTGCAGGATCGCGCAGGCGTGGGACGCCACGTGCACTTCTTTCGGAAGCCTGGAACTCTGGTGTTGCCTGTGCCACAACCGCTTGCCATCGCAGAAAAGGGATGCAGTAAGTCCCAGCCTTTGGCAAGCTCGGGCTCCGCGCGATGGCACGCCTCGTGACGCCGACACTCCCCTTTGACATGAAGCGTTTGGAATTGATCTTTGTGTGCAGTATCTCCGGCACGGGTCAGAATTCCTCATGGTGGTGACCCTGCGCATTCTCTCACGATACACTGCCTGCTAATGCCCCGGGGCCCCGGGCTGCTCCGTGCCAGGCTCATGCCTGGGTGCCCCGCAAATCGTAATGCAAGCAGAAGGTGCAGTTGGTCGCCCCACTTCCGTTTTTTGTCCTTCCTCGAGAGTGACTTTCGTCTCTCCTTGCAAGGTGGCTTTTTGCATCTGCTTAATTTTTACTTTTGTCCGGCCTGCGTAGGGGACCTTTCCTGGCGGACTTTGCGGACCTGCGGGCTGCAGATACATGCAACTTCTAGTAACGGCGTGCGAATGGCAGGTGCCTTTTCCGACTTTCGCTTGTGCTCAGTTTGCGTCTTGTCTTTCTTATCCTTTTTTTTCTCCTTCTTTCCCTTATTCGACTTCAGCCTCTCCTGTGCCAGTATGAAGGCATGCGTGCCGCAAAGCTCTTTCTGGTCACGTCTGCCTCGTGAGACTCCTCTCGTCGCTGTCTTTGGCTGGACTTCCTTGCGATGCACAGAAGTACGACTCGCCATGCTTTACGAGAGCGCTTCGCAGCTGTGCCCAAGGCGTGACCAGCTTCTTGCTCTGAAGCTCGTCTCCTGCCAACGAAACCAAGCCTGTGGCAGTGCATCATGTGGAAACAACGACACAGACTGGCAGGCATGGCAGGCAGTCCTTCAGATCTTTGTTGCTTTGCTTTCTTCTGCAAGGCAGGATATTTGCGACTGCAATTGGTTCGTTTGATGCCTCGCCCGAAGTTAGAAGCTAAAGCAAAGTGTTTCGCAGACATTGCACGGTCCAGGTAGTCTGTTCAGCTATGCAGCTAATGCGGCTAAACGTGCGGCGACCCGGCTCCCATGCTGAATCCTGTCTCCGGCCTTCTCCTTGACCGCATTCACTGGCCCAAGGCTTTTTTGGTCCTGTCCCAAGACCCGTCCCCTATGGCACTATGGGCCCCAAAGAACGGACCCTCTGAGGGGGCCTTCGGCAAGCTCGGCTTGGGCCCACTGGCGCCGGCCGCGGCCACGAGCCTCTCCTTAGTCCTGGGCCGCAATCCCGCGCCTTCTCCCCCCAAAAGAACAAGAAGCCGAGTCACCAGCGGGTCCCGGCCCGGCCTTCGCTCTCGGCCCAGGCCCTGGCCCTGGCAGCTGAAAATTCCGGGCGGTCGGTGGCTCGGCTCGCATGACAGGATGGTCTCTGCATTCGCTGTCGGTGACATGCTACCCGAAGCAAATATCTTAAACAGGATTCACGGGACGAACGACAGAGGAACGAATTAAGAAAGGAATGAAGAACGACAGAGAAAGGAAGACGTACCGAACGAAAGAACGAAACAACCAATACCCAAGGAAGCCTAGACAGGCGGGACGAGCTAAATAAATCAACGAAGCAAGAAGAAAGACGGGACGAGCTACATCAATTAACGAAGCAAGAAGAAACAGAGAAACATCGACGTAAAGAAATAACTACCGACAGAAAGAGAGAACGGCAACCACAAATACAAAAGAACGACATACAGAGAGGAAGAAGGAACGACAGAAAGAACGAATGCTAGACACACACACAAAAATAAGGACGGAACTAACTAAAGCAGTACATATAAAGAGAACGACATAATAACGAAACAATGAAACACAGTAAATAAACAACCACGGCAACAAAGAAAGAAAGAAGAGACAACGAGAACGAAGAAGATACAGCAACGCAGAACGAAAGACATAAACAAATACACACATGAAGAAAGGTGGGGCTGTCAAGGCTCGGGGTTGCTCTAGAGTCCCAAACTGGCTTACAGATGTGGTGCAGGATCAGGGTCCTTGTATTGGGAAGCGGGAAGCCCTTTCATTGCCGACTCTTGGAACCAGATGTTGCCATGCGCGTGCTTCAACGCTCATGTGCTTGTGTTGCCATCAGAGGTTTTCGGCCACAGATCGCTCCTGAACCAGTCCCACCTGTGCACGACACCCGTATCATTCCGTGCGACCTTGGCACTGGAGTGTGGTTATGGCCGAAATGCTACCGGAAGCGTGCAGGGCCAACAGGATTGGGAGAAAATCGCTTGTGGCCGAAATGCCACCCGAAGCAGACATCTGTTAGCCAGAATTGAAGCAAATTCGTTTGTGGCCAAAGCGTGGCGCTAAGCATCATTAAGGATGTATGGCGAAAACGCTGCCCGAAGCAAAAGTGCTCAGGTTGTGGCAGGGGGGTGCTACTTGGAGAAGTTCTCTCAAGACCAGCCAAACAACCTGAAGGAGCCTGGCCGCAATGTGTAATGACAGATAGGCCTACGCACGGGAATACCAGAAACCCGCACGCCCCACAAAGGAGGAGAGCTTCGGCTAGGGAGGTTTTGGGGCACAAGTTCGACCAAGCGGCCAGGTTTCCCAAGAGGACCTGCCACATCCCTTGAGTCTTGAGGCGAAGAGGCTTCGAGCAGGTTTCTTCTTGATAGAACATGTTTGACGTGATAATGCGTACGATTGCTTGCCGACGCGCATCCCGAAGCATGCATGTCAATCAGGATCGGGATGAACTAGCCTATGGCCGCAATGCCCGAAGCTCACGTGTCACTTCCGAGGGGGCAGAGAGTCGCCGGCCGACTGAGGCCGAAACGATGCCTGAAAGCCGTGAAAGGGGATTCGGGTAGGAAGATTCGTGGTCTCTCCGAGTTGCTGGAGACGTGGTCTCGTGGTCTCTGCTGGTAGCGGTGGTCGCCGCCGGTCGCCGCTCGACTCGTGGTCTCCTGTTCGTGATCCTCGACTGGTGACTGGTGGTAGTCGTCATCGTCGTAGTGGTGCTCTTCCGCTGCCTTGGAGACCTACGCTGCGTAGGATGCCATGTTTGTTGACCACAACCCTTTTTTGTCAGGATTTTGTGCACAAATCGGGGTGGGTGAGTAGAGGAATCTAGACGGCCGCTTTTTCAGACAGACTCGGAGCGAGAATCAGTTTTGGGGGGCGGGGACTATCACGCACGAAACCGATGCCATGTCCCGTTGATTGCACTTGCAAACGGCCTTGTCGCTTCCTTTTTCTGTGACCTGCAGAAAAAACAGTAGCGGCAGCCGCATGCAGCTTGTGTTTCCATCAGCCCGGCCTGCGTGTTGCTCTTCAACACCAGGGCATTTGCAGGCTTTAGGCGCGCCCTATCAGCATCATCGAGTTGAGCGGTGCGGCGTGATAGCTCAATGTTCGCTCTATGGCTCCGTACCATGACTTACGTGAGGGGATGGCGTAGTGCCGAATGCTAAGGATGAATGATGACAATCGGGCTGAATGCGGCTACAGGCTGCAAGGTCCGCAAGGTCGCCTGTCTTCTCTTTGTGGTCGGAGAACTGCGCGAGGTGGGTCTTGGCGAGCTACCAACACCCGCCTGAAGCTTCCAACATCTTCAAGCCCAAAAGCAACGGCAAGGGCAAGGAGAAGCCTGGGCTTGGAGTCGACCTGCCCTGCAACGAGGCGAGTACGAGGCGAGTGCGAATGCTGCCCTCATCAAGTTGGCCGGGGCCTGTCCGCTGCCTTGCAGGCTGACGGCCTTCCGCAAGCTCTAGCTGCGAAACACCCCATCGCGCAGAGTCGAAACTGAAGCCAATAACTGGCAATACCTCCCACCCCGAATGACAGTTAAAGAAACATAAGCATGGCCTTGAGAAGATTCTGATGGAAGCGACTGCTCATCCCTGACTGGACCACGAGAACAGCGTCCAAAAACAAACTGCTCGCATGGCCAGCCCAATTTACTACAGAGAGCTGTGCTTATTGCCGACTCATCGCACTCAGTGCACCGCGATGAGGCCCTGCCCACAAATCGATCAGGCGATTTGGCCTGCGTTCCAAACAATGTAACACTGGTCCAAGTTGATCGGAGAGAGAGGCTCCACGACCAATCGTGTCTGCAGTTCGGTCGCCTGTCTTTGCCGCGGATCCTGAGTACAGCAGCAAAGCTATATGTGCTTTCGGACCTGCATCGTCCATGCCTGTGGGCCATCATCTGTGCGTGACCTTGTAACACTTATAGGACTTATAGATATCAACTGCAGTCTGCAATTCTGCAGCTCACCGACGTCACTCTTAGTCACTCGCTTTCTTCGCTTTGCTTTGGAACCTTGCTGCACCCGCACAGCTCCACACTTTTTACTAGCTAGCCCTCCTGTGGTCTTGCGCATTCCCGCGTCTCTTCCCCCCCACCGTTCCCTCGTCCGTGAATGTGAGCTTACACGCCTTGTCCCAAGAATAAGATCCCCTTCGGATGGTTTGCGACCACTCAGGAAGCCTGACTACAAGAATGGGTGAGCCCGGAAAGGGCGCGCCTCGATCTGCTCCACTTGCGATGCTAGGGACGTCCTGCAACTTGAAAGCTCAGGTTTGCTGCAGTGCAGGGATGGACGATGGCTGCACCTGCGCATCAGACTTGGAACGGCGCCCGGGCATCCGGCTGGGCTGCTACGACACCCTATATTACTTGCTACGCCACCCTGCCCGGGCATACGCGGCATGTGCCCTGCATGCCTGATGAAACAAGTAAAAACTTTACAGGTTCGACAAAGAGCTGAGGATGCAAGACATGACTCACGTGCAGCTAAGATTCAAGCTGCTACAGTTCCGCTGGAGTTTAGGCTTGGTCCGGTCACGAGCTCTTCCACTGACCATGGCCGAATTGCACCCAGCAAGAAAGGTACGTATGCTGCCTCGCCACTACAGTAGAATCTTGTGTCCTAAAGTTCCTGGTCCTGCTACTGCTATTTACTTCCCTTGACGATGCATCAGGAGCAGCAGTTAGATTGGTTCAGCCGACCTGAAAACTCTCACTCGCTGCTCTGTCGCGGCTTGCCCAGCATGTGACCCAAGTAAGCGGCAGCTACTCTCCCTGTCGAGTCGGATCTCATGCTTGTCGCTACATCAACCGCTCAAGGGGGCGGACCACCAGTCAGCCATGCCTGCACGTCCTTGTGGTTATATCCTGCAGCTTCCAAGAAGGCGAAAGCTTGCTCGACCCGTGGCCGGCCACCTGATCTGAATTCGGAGGAAAGCAGCCGAATGACCTCCACCTCGTCTCCCGCCTGCACCCGCAGCAGCAGCTCATCGAAGCCTGTGGCTGCTGTAGCTGCTGTAGCTGCTGTGGCTGCTGTGGCTGCCGTGGCTGCTGTAGCTTCAGGTCGGGAATGCGAGGATTTCACCTCGGGCGCTTCGGGCACTTCCGCGGTCTCCGCGGTCTCCGCGACTTCCACCGCGGTCTTCGCCTTCGAGGCCTCGGCCTCGGCCTTGGCCTTGGCCTTCTCCTTCTCTTGCTTCGCAGAGCCGGCCTGGGCCGCCGTGGCACTGTTGTTTTGCTGCATGGTCTCATGGAAGAGCCTCTTGGGCGCTGTCAGCGTCATGGAATCGTTCCTGAAGTCGCTGGGCTTGCCGGCTCTGGAGTCTTTCTGATGAGGCTGTGGAGTGGCTTTCAGGCGAGACTGATACCAGCGCTTTATGGCATCGAGGTCGTAGCCCATGGATTGCAGCCTGGCAAAAGAGGATGAAAGGTTGCCTGTCCTCAGCATCCTTGCGAAGACTTCCTTGACCTCGGCCCGGGTTTCGGCCTCCGCCTCCAGGTCTTTCAAGAGAAGAGCAAAATCCGAGTTTTTTCCTGGCGTTTCGACCTCCTCCGCCTCCGACTCCGACTGCAACCACTTCAAAAGCCCGTTGTAATCGTAGCCTAAAGCAGCGAAAATCCCGAGTACGTGTACCATCTCTTCTGCGCCGATGTGGGCAAGGACCTTCTTCACCTCCGCTTTGCTCGAATGCTTCAAGGCATCGATCAGCAAGTAAACGTTCCAAGAGTTCTCGATAGCACGGGCTGGTCCCTTTGCTAGCAGAGCCTGGCCATGTGTTTTTCGCTCGATCCAGCTCTGCAGCTCCTGGGGGCTGTAACCCAAGGCCTGCAACGCCTGTAGCGCCTTCGAGACTCGATGCGCTCCGCCCTGCGCTCCGCCCCTCCTGGCCACGTTCAGGATCAGCGCCTTCACGGCATCGGGGCCGTCGGGCCGGTTGGCGCGGATCGTTTCCAGCAAGTTCCCAACGTCCTCGACCAGACTCCTATCATGGCCCTCTGCGGATAGAGTTGGAGGGGACGAAGCAGTCGACAACCACTCCTGGAGACCATCAGGATCGTAGTCCAGGGCCAGGAGTGCCCAAACCATCTCCAAGTGATGTTTCCCTCCCTCTGCAGCAGCAAGCAGGGCGATGTTGGCGCCGTGTTGGTCTCCTTCCACGATTTCCCGCTCCACTGCTTCTGCTTGGTCTGGAAGTTCCAGGATGTTCTTCGGAAGTTTCAAGGCAAACGCTTCATGGAAGAGCTGCCCGAAAATGCACATGAGATAAACCGACGCTGGACCTAAGCATGTGGAGTCCGGCTGTCCCTGCAGTCCCCCTTGGACACTAAGCAAAGCATTTCACCGCAATAACCGAGATGCGGACAGCGGGGCATCGCAACCAAGGAAGCCCACACTATTCTCTGATGAGATCTTCATTGAGCCGGTGCTGGTCAAGGTGCGTCTTTGTTTGTTGTTCGTTCTATCGCGAGATGCTCACTTGTTGTGACTAGCTTGAGGCCATGACTCGCAAGCCTCACTCTGTTTCTCTGCCTCTGTTGTTCAAACAACCTCCTGCTGCTCCGTAGATAGCTTTTCATAATTTTACTAAGTCGCGCGCTACATCTGTGAGTCACATGGAAAGGATGCAGGGCCGAAAGTCCGCACAACTGCGTGGTTTTTTCCTGCCAGTTTCGAGCTCAACCGACGTTACCACGTAACGATGCTTGGAACTGCCTTGCCTGATGCTCATCCATCAAGTTGGGTGCGGAAGGTCCAACGGGCCCTTCTGGGACCATGCCGTGGACAGCACCAGCCCGAAGCAGAAGCGCATCTTCTCGCTTCATCACATTCCTAGCTTGGGGTTCGCCTTTGTTGTTCAACGAGATGGTGAAGCTTACTTCATCGCCAATCTGCAACCCGATCATCTGATTCCGGTGTATGTAAATGTCTCTGGTGAAGCGCAGCTTGGTTTCGTCGCAATCAATGAAGCCATAGCCACCTGCAGGGCCATCCTGGAATCTCTTCACCCTCCCGATAAATCGCTCCTCGTTCGAGCGATCGGCCGGTGCCCAGGAGTGGAGATTTTGCGGCACTTGGTGAATCTGGGGGAACACCTGGGCAGGGCCGCCTGCAGGGTATTCGCCTTGTTGCGGCCATCCTCCTTGAAGAGGCTCTTGCCACATCGGCGCGATCGGCGCGGCCGAGGCCTGGCTTTGCCATGCGGTCTGACTTGGGCAGAAGGGCGGTTGCGGCGGTTGCCACTGCATGGGTGGCGGGTGCCACTGCTGGGGCGCCAGAACGGCTGCACCTGGAAATGGCATGACCGAATGCGCCATGTGCCCAGGACCTTGCTGACTGACTGGCAACTTCTCCCACATCTGGCCATGCACAGGTGCATTCAGCACAGCCCCGTTCAAATGCACGGGTGCTGGAGGGGGCGGTGGGGCTGGTGTGTGTGTATATTGGCTCAGGGGTGTCGGAGGGCCTTGCGCTGACGTAGCCAATGGACTGGCATCGCCAGCCGGTCGTGCAACAGGTGGTGGGGGAGGAGGTACAACAATGAGTGGCTTGTTGTCCGCTTGAGCCTGTATGGTCTCTGAAGTCGGGACCCCCATTGCTTTTGCAATAAGGCTGCTATCTGCGACATCCCAACCACTCTTTCTCCGAGTCTTAGAACTCGACCTCGATGACGAAGACGAGGACCTCCGGCGTCGGCGCGATCTGGATCGATGTGAACGGGAACTTGAAGATCTGGAAGACTTTGACTTGCTTCTGGCATTCTTCTTTCGCTCCTCCTCTGCAGCAGCCGCTGCACGTTCGGACTCACGCCTTTTTCTCGCTTCATCTGCTTCCCTAGCCTCTCTGGCTTTCCGTTCCACTTCCTCTCGTTCGCGCCACTCCTCCATGTCTTCAGCGGTTACCTCCTCGCCACTTTCCTCATCTTCCGCAAGCTCCTCCTTCCACTTTGGTTTACCGCTGTCCTTCTGAGCATTGGCCTCGAAGCAACGAGAACACTGTTCACTTCGCATTACAACCCCACTCATGCGATAACGACGAAACAAGGAGAGCCTGAGCCTCCTTTCTGCGTTTGCCAAGCATTCGAATAGTCAGAGGCGCTGCTGCCCCAATGCCATGTGCACCAGCGGCCAACAAGGGGCAAACAAACCTTCTCAGCTTAACCGAGGAACTGCAACCAGTTTTCCGTGTATCGTCATTAATCCTTGCTGGAGGGGGCTGTTGGGATGCCTTGCTGCAGTTGCCCGCTGCATGCATTGTGTGACATGTGTGTCTGTCTGTGTGCGTGTGTGTACTTGTCTTTTAACTTGTGCTGTTTGTCAGATGTCTTGCTACACTGATGCGTGCACTTCTGCCGGGAGAAAACATGACAAGCAAGGTTTGCAGGGCAACCATAAACTGCGTGGCTGCTTAAACCTTCCACTCGTCCCGACGCACCATCGCTCTCAGAGTCCCTGCCTACACGGAGAATTTGGGTACACCCCAAACCTGGAAAAAAAAATGTCGGGTGTAAACTAAGGCATGGTCACAGGGCCCGTGTAAACTAAACCCTGAAAAGCACTAGTGAGTGGCACACCCCAAACCCCAGAACGGTGAACACTTGCTGCGGCATCCATACCTGCGTCATGAATTGCACAAGCCCAAATCCCAGATCCGCACGGTGGCGAAGCGAATGACTGAATGACTGTTTCCCGAAAGTCGATATCTACTGCGGCGCCTGAATACTTTGAATAATTCCGGCCTGGATCGCGGGCCGAAGACCGCCGAAGAGTTGATCAGCTGCTGCGGAAGCACGGGCATAAATGCTGGGTGTGGCAAAGATCGAATTAGCCGGGGTGGCTCGGAACGAGTCGGCGAGGGCATTGCTGCGGCATTGCTGATGAAAGGCGATTCTCTATCAACGTTGGTTGCGCTGGGAAAGGCAAAGAAAGTAAAATATCGGAAAGGCAAGTCGTGAAGGCGTCGCCTGTGGCAATATTTTTTCTCGCACGCCTCTTTACGACTGCGAGGGAAGTCCCAAGTAAGTCTGCAGCAGGGATTATTGCTGGTCGCTCCGGAAGTCGGCCAAGACAAGACCTCATGCAGTTCTGGCAGAGGCCCCTCGCCCGAGCTCGGCGGCAGGTGGCAACTGGAGGAGCGATGCGGCGTAGGCGCGCTGAAAAGCGACAGCAAAAGCCCAGGACAGCTTGCGCCGCTACTAAGAGGTATGCGGCCCACCAGGCTCCTGCGGGACTCGGGCTGCGGCAGAGACGGCTGCGCCCGGCTGGATGTCGGGGCGTGGGTGGGGCTCGCCTCGCCGTGCGAGCGGGCAACGAGGGTGGCATCGAGGGCGAGCTGGAAACCATGCCTCGAAGGCAGACCATTCGCGACGATCTGATTGCGCCTCTCAACTGAGACAGGCACATCGAGGTTCATGTCCGCAAGCCGGACGTGACGGGCGATGCGGGCGACCCCCGGGTGCGCCAGGCTCGCGACAGACGCGCGCAACGGCATGCTCGAGGGGCACCAGGCGCGTTGCCAGTTGCCAGGACTCCGGAGGTTTCATAGACCGAAGAACGGCGGTCGCCGAGTAGGTCGAGCTGCACCTGCGCGATGTGAGCGGGAGGGGAAGTCGCAAGCGGCGCAGCAGCAGCAGCAGCAGCAGCAGCAGCGTCCGAGACGCAGGTGTTGAGGTTAGCAAAGTGCATCTCGAAGGCGCAAGCAGCAAGTCGCTGCCATCTCTTGAAGGCGCGCGAGGTTTCTCCGGGGGCGCGGCAGCTGAGCCGGTGCAAATGGCTCCATGCAGGGCCGCGCTGGGGGCACAGGCGTGAATCCCCGAACCGTTGTGCAATTCGAGCGGGGTGCAGCAAGGCATTGGGCGATTGCTGCATCCTACCAATAACCCCAGACCGCAGTCCGCTCCCCTCCACACATTCATCTTTTTTCCCTCTCGCCTGCCAAAAGCCACGAGGTAAAGCCTTCCAAAACGTACGTGAAAAAGCGTGCACACGTCATGCATCCAATTGCGAGCGCCCAAGCGGCCTGACTTTACAATGGCCAGGCAACGTGACGCTTGCCCCTGCGTGTATTCCTCTTTTGATATACATATATATATATACAGAAGGTTTAGGGTTTGGGGCGTAAGCTGCAAAAATTTGCATGTGTGCGTGTGTGTGGGTGTATCTGTATATACACACACACACACGCACACGCACACGCACATGCATAGCAGATCCCTGTTCCATTTCGACCATGAACTTAAAACCCAAGATTGCAGACTGAAACCCACAATCCCATGCTGGAAATGGGAAATATGCAAAAAAAACTGTATAATTACGGAGCATGTCAACAGAGTAAGCCTGTCAGGTCTATTTGGATTTTCTGCTCGTCCTGAACTGGGAAGCAGCCGAAACATGAAACGCGCGCTGAGGGTAGCAGGACTGTGGGTGCAATTGACATTCTAGCTCGAGTTTCTTTTATTTGCCAACCACCTCGGGCATTTCGATCATCTGCTGCCATGACGAAACGCGTTGCAGCTGCAATAGAAAACCGGAGGACGTGGATGAGTTTTTCACGAAGTTGTCCACACATAAACGGATGAGGCAGCAGCCGGGCAAAAGGCCAAGGAAGTGAACGACCCCTGCGAGAACTCGTAGTGCAAAGGCTCGATGGACCAGAAAAGGGACATGTTGAAAGCATGACTGAAAGACGGCTTGAAGGTAGCTGCCATCATGGCCAGCTTCGTGTTTGCGCACACAACGAGACCAGAACAGAGGAGGAGGAGGAGGCGGAGGAGGAGGAGGAGTGGGTGTCCCTCCACCAAGCCAAGTGGCACCACGGCGAAGCAGAGCTGAAAGCTCGCTTGCAAGCAGGCAAATTGCTCTACTTTCACGTGTTGCTCTATGTGCTGCTGTCCGTGTGCTTCTGCAGGCCTGAAGTTAAAAGTTATGAGACACGTCGCCTCTATGCGTTTTCAATCCGGAGGCGCCCTGGAATGGAGGACATGGGAAGAAAACAAGCGGTTCATCGAAGTCCGGAAAGTGAAACAGACCCGGAAGAGCTCCTCGCTCCTCCAGTGGTGCAGAGCGCCGGTCCTGCGCATTCAAGAGCAGCCAAAAGTGCTTGTGACCTTCAAACCGCAACTGAACAGCATCCCAAGAGTCCCCTTGCCCACTGATCTATACACAACTGCGAGACGGAAGAGCTGGTCACAGCCCGGGTTGCGGCGCACCAGGAGACAGATGGTTGGAGCCGAAAGACACTCGGCATCGCATGTCTGCTACGGGAACCGGGAGGAAGCTCCAGAACCCTTGGGCTCTAGCGAGTCTCGCTTTGGACCAAGGAGGCAGGGAAAACAGCGATGAAGTACGCCGCTGCCAGCCCGGACAAGCTCGAGAAGAAGATCGAATTCGACACAATGTCGAAGGAGATGCTGAGCAAAGGCACAAGGATCTTGATCGGGCCTGCTTAGGTGACTTGCTGCCTTTGAAAAGCAACCTGAACAGCACCTCTGCTGCAGTGAGGGCCAAAAAGTGGTGCTACAGATCGCGAGCTTCGTCTAAACGGCGAGAAATGGATCGGTCTTTTTAGCCGCTGAGTATAATGATACGTGCCAAACAACTAGAAAACATCCCCCAAGTCTTGGAAACAAGTTCGCGCTGACGATTGGCATCGGACTTCGGGGTACCGCCTGGCCGCGTTCTCCCACCCTTACCACATACCGCCTTCGCTGCACGGCGATGGTGTCGAGTGGTGTGGAGGGTACGTTTCGGCCTTTGTGGCGACAGCTCAAATGGTCGCTCGAGGCTCTCCTGCACGGATCACCGTCGAAAAATTTGCAGATGGTGCAATGCTCGCAGAAATGAAGCTGACGTAGCTTGGGGATGCTTCAAGCACAAACAGGACGGACCAACGAGTCTGAAGCCAATCCTGTGTTCACGTCACGGAGCCCCACTGCACTGCATGGACCAAGGGGTCCTGCTGAGGTTTGAAGGATCCTTTTTTCAGAAAACATCTGATTTACCACGAGCTGCCGAACGATGCCCGAACGAACCTCGAGAAACATGGGCCTCGCCATCAAGGTTGGCGGTGTTGGAGATGGGACAGGACAGCAAGCTAGCAGCAAAGGAGCGCACGGCAGCTATGCAGAGAAGCCCAGACCACCGGGTGACAAAGGCGGCAATACACGCAGTGCGCTTGGTCACGGCGGCACTGCGCGCCCGCGCCCGCGCCCGCAAGCGGAAGCGGACGCCCACAGCGGCATTGCGCAGGAGCAAGTGGCAGAGGGAGCCGCAAGCAACGGAGAAGCAGGACCCGGAAGAGCGCAGAGTCACTGCAGACTCGAGGGCGAGCTTTGGGGCAACAGGGCGAACAGTGAGCAACCTGGCGGCGAAGGCGCCGGACGAGTCGAGGAGTGTGAGCTCCGCAGGCCCGACGGCGCGGTGCACGGCCCGTCTCAACAAAGGCATCGGAGGCCGGTGCTAGGTCTTGCACAGGCGACCACCCAAGGACACTGCACTCTGGAATTTTCTGGCTTTTTGCGCATGACTTAGCGCGAAGGTGGTTTGTCTGTATTTTTGTACATATATACACACATGAACATCTATATTTAATATGTAAATTATGTATTGATCTACTCCTATAATAGATACACACATACATGTACATATATATATATATGTATATATGTATATATACAAGTATATGCGCTTTTTTTTCACACACGCACTTTTCTGCAGCGAAAGTACGCGGTCCCGGTGCAAGAAGACTGCCGCTACACGCTGTTTTAGCGAGGTCTGCGTCCTCCATGCCCGAGTCCAAGGCTGCAGCTTACAGGCGGTGGGGAAGACGGCTGGCAAGGGGTGGAGCGTCGTCGAAGCGAGTGCAGGCGAGGACGTCGCTGAGGAGAGGC